TCTCAAAATAATGGAGGTGGTGAAAGAAGGGGGAGAGAGACGCAGGTGGAGATCTCCGATGCCAGACTACCCTGTTTTTCTCTCTCTGGAGGTTTCTGAGGATGCTGAAGAAGGCATCTGAAATTAGGAGGGCATTGCCAGCAGGCAGGGAACCCTCTTGGCTGGTATCATGGGCGTAAGGGCCAGCAACAAGCCTTCTCCCTGTCCCCTTGCTGTCCTCAGACCCACCTGAGGGACAGCTGTAGGTGTCCTCCTTGTCTGAGGACTGAAAAGGTCTTGTCTGTGCTCAGAGCCATGTGTTGGCTCATAAGCGTGGGGCTTTATTTGCAACATTTGCTTTAATTGTTGCTGTATGTTGCCCTGGGGCTGAGGGGTCTCTGTGAGGAGAGGCTGGGGCTGCCTCAGGCCGGTTCTGGCCACCCCACAGGTGGGAGCAGCCTGGCCCCTGGGCCCTGACGGTGGTGCCTTGGGGAATCTGAGGTAAGAAAAGGGAAAAATGCTGGAAAAAGGAGATCTGTGAGGAAAAAAGTGTGAGGAAAAGCCCTGTGAGTGTTGAGGTGGGAGGAGGAGGAGAAGTGCTGCTGCCTGTGGGGTCCTCCATGGGCTGTGGCGTGGATGTTTCCAGAAGGAACCTCCATTCTCCGGCACCCCTCAAGGTGGGGGGGAAGGAGTTGGCAAAGAAAGGGAGTCAGTTGAATCTTAGAAAAAAGGGGTGGGGTGAGGGAAAGGTGTGTTGACTTCTGTCTATTTCTTGCTATTATTTACTTTAATTGGCAGTAAATCAATTTTCCCTCGGTCCAGTCTGCTGTGCCAGTGAGGGTGACCGGTGAGGAGAGGAGGGAGAGGGCAGCTGGCCACAGTCAATCCACCACAGTTAGATGTACTTAAATCCAGTAGGAGCTTACCTACTGGTGCAAAAAATATTAGCTGTTTTGATAAGTTACACATCATGGAGTTTGGATGGCAGATTTCTGGTCAGGACAGGGTTTTGCTCTATGTCTCCTCTGCTTTGCAAACACAGCTGGTGCGAGGGGGGGAAGCAATGGGGAGGACGAAAGGGTACCCAACGACTTAAGATGAAAGTAGTGTTTCAGAGAGATCAAAATGTAAGGCTGAGTACAGGAGCAGAAGTAGTTGGAGCCCTGAAGTGAGGGAAAGATGGATAAATGGAGCTCTTTGGCACTTTTGAGGCGGGTGGTTTGGGTTACTGTGATTGCGCAGGGAAGCTCACAGGAATTTTTGTCACTGAGATGCTGGCCAGGAGGTTTTAGGATAACCAGTGTCAGAGCCAGGAAAGACATTCAGTTTTTCATGCTGTGAGAGTTGGAATAGAGAGGAAAATAGCTGTTGCTTGTTGGAAAAGGTGAGCTGCTTCATGTCTGACTTGAGGCACCCTCATTTAAGGAAGGCCCTTCATACATTGTAAAATAGATGTTGGTGTTGGCACTTGCAAGTGCCTCTTAACGATTTCACTCATGCTAAGAAATTTTTATACTGAGAATGCGCTGTTTTTCACAAAAGCTCTGCAGCTTTTGCTGCACTGGTACTCCAAGAAATGAGCGAGCAGCAAGTTTTTAATTGTGTTCTAGGTTAAGATATTCACCTTTTCCATGCTTGGGGTGTGTTGTGTGTGTTTATTTTTTTTTTTCTTCTGGACAACTTCTTTTCTGATTTTAATGAGGGTTTGGTGACTTGGTACCCCAAAGTTGTTACCATTCTATCATTGTTCCTTTTTGTCCCATCGGAGAGCCTTTGCTGGTAGCTAAAAGGTGGGGTTTTTTCCCCAGTAGGACTTTGATTAACTTTGTCACCCATGTAGAATTGAGACAGCTACAGTAGGACCTATAGAGATGCTGTTATTTTTACCTTTGGATTGTCCAGTATAGACCTTGATGAGGCTGGAGGAAGTGTTAGTTTTAGGCCAAGGACTGGGATTTTTTTTTTTTCTCTTGCTCCCTTAATAATTCTGGGACCAAAGCTGCTGCGTAACCTGGGCCTCTTAACATGCATCTTACTGCAGATAAGACAGGAAACGAAGGATCAAATGGATGTGAACAGTGAATTTCTGCATCTGTTCCCTTGAGACCCAGAAAGTTATTCTGGTGTTTAAAGTTTACTGATTTCAGTTGTCTGGCTTTGGTGCTTTTCACACTCCAAATATCACTTATTTTTGAGGCGGTGGATAAGTCTGTCTCAACTGAAAGCTGGATGTAGTTATTCCGCACTTTGTTGCTGAAGTGGTGAGCTGTCGACTGTTTGTTTCAGGCAAATTGTTGTGAGATCTGGTCAGCAAAGCTTGAAACAAGTTCCTCTCCTCTGCCCCACACTGCTTCAGTCCCAAGCTTCAGCCTTCTGGCACATTTCTGCATAGAACCGTTGAATTGCAGACATTGGATAAAGGGTTCAGACATTTCTCTCCATCTCAATTTTAAAACAGCCACCCTTCAAGAATAAAAATGATTGATGATTCCTTAAGCTCTCACTAACCTTGGCTGACAGGAGATGGCATTTAAGTCTCTGCTGACTTTGAGTTCATTTGTTCCTTTTTTTCTTTTCCTAACCAGTAGAGACTGTTTTCTTAGATAAGAAATTTCTAACGGCAGCATAGAAGTTCAGCAGTTCGGAAGTGCAGCAGTGACAGATATGTATAGTTTAACCAGTGTCTCTGTAAAATGTAATGGCAGCATACTGCTGGGGGGTTAACGAAACAGAGTTAGTTCACACTGGAATCAGGCTAAAAGAATTGTCAAAAGGGTTAAATCTGGGGATACCTTGACTTTCTGATGAGTCACCTAACATGCCCTGTCTTTCAACCTGTTTTGCTTTTTTCCCTGTTTTTGCCTGTATACTTTGAGGGTGGGAGACTCCTGGAGCTAGTTTGTATCTGTCAAATACTCATGGCATTAAGGTAAAGTCTTTGCAGATGCTAGCTGATAATATCTTTCGATTATATAGCTATTTTGTAATGGGATAACACTGGGTTTAGTGTGTTTTAGGATTTTCTGAAAACTGCTCCTAAATTTTTGGGCTGCCGTGCAAATCTGGTAGAAAGGCAGGCTCTTGATGTGCAGCATTTCAAAAATAGATGATTAATGCCGTGTAAAAGGGAAGACTACATAGTGAAAAGCACATATCTGAAAGTGCCAGCTCTGCCATGTTGCTGGGTAAAATAAGCATATAAACAGTGGTTTGTAGTAGTGCTCTCTGACAGGAGGTTTTGTGTCTCACTGTATAAATTCTGCCCACTTATTATTGTGTCTGATCTGATACTGGTTTTAGAAGAATTAAAATTGACGTTTCTGGTTTCAGACAGGAAAAGGTCTTTTTTTTAAACTTCCCGTCGAGGCTTCCCTTCCTTAAGTCAAATTTGTTTCTGAAAACTGGCTCACACGTGGTATGGCTTCTGATCGTTGAAGCTTCTGACTTTTTTCATAGTATAATAGTGATGCCAAGACAGCAGAGCTTGATTTGTCCAGGATATGGGGCTGTATCTGGGTTTTGCTTGGGTGGTTTTGAGTTTTAAAACTGTTTGGGGGGGTGTGTGTCCTGCTTGTTTAGCAGTAGCACATGGGTATTTATCAGTCCAGACAACTTGCTATTTTCAAATGTAAAAAGGAAAAATTGCCCTTTGGTTCCCAACACATAGGAGTTCTTTTTAAAAAAAAAAAAAAAAAAAAAAAAAAATTAATTTTACCAAAACATGCAACTTCCCACTTCAGTTCAGTTACAGCTGTTTAATGCCCAGTTCTCTTTTGCTGTTAGCTGCCTGTTTGACTCTGCTGTGGGAAGCTGAAAATGCAATTGCGAGGAAGAAAATTGAAAATTACTAGACTGATTTTTCATTTCTCAAGACTGAGAAAAATGGAGTGTAAATACAGCACAAATGAGAGTGAATTTCCAGAGCTGTCAATGCACCGACCGCCTGGGCCGTAGGTCCTGCTTTCAAGAAAGACTAGTGTAGTTGAAACTATCCTCTATTTGCATAGCAGGATTCAGAAGAAAAGTGAAGTAGCAGATAAAGCTATTTTAAGTAGATTATTGAACGCAACCTCGCAAAATATGGAGGTCTGGACAATTTGGCAGAGAAATAATCAACAGCCTGGGTTTTGTTTGCAAACTTCTGTTAGAAATTTACTTAAAAATCAAGCCCTACCTGTGAGATACCTTTATAGAAATGCAGGTTTGGCAGCTGTATTTAAAAAAAAAAAACAACCAACAAAAAAAATCCCAGACCATAGGAATGCCCATATTGGACTGCAGCTGTGGAAAAATACGGGTGCTAGTCACTGAAATAGATACCACTGTAGACAGATGAGAGCTGGTGTTGTGCCTTACTCTTTTTTTTAAATTTGAGCTCTTTTGTGCTAGAATTGTAATTTCATTGTTGGGAGAGGATTAGTATATAACTAGTATAACTTATTTTAGAAGGTGGACTTCAAATCAGTCTGATCCTAGATTTTCATGAATTAGTCCCCTGCCAAAATTGCAGAACATATGAACCATTCATGAGCTTTCTTCTCTTACTAGGCACTTTTTTTTTTTATAACTCAGTATCATAATTCTTGTTTTTATCTTGAACAATTTGTTCTGCTATGAACAGGCACGTTTACTACTTGTGTCTTAGAGTTTGGCTTCCCTCTGAAAGGCAAGAAAAAAAAAACAACATGTAAGCAGAGAAAACGAGAGAGAGAGAGAATTAACCTCTTAATCCACAACTCCCTAACTCTCCCCTATCGTTATGCTAAAACTTGGGGAGGGGGGGTTAACCTTTGAAGACTGAGGGTTTGGTGTGATTTCTATTTTCCATGTCTGTGTAGTAATCTAAAATGATTTCCTAAAACTGATTTATTCAATGTGGCTTTGAAAATATATTTTACATTAATGAAAAAAAAAAACCTCACAGCTGTTCTGTTGTACATTCTTGCTTTAAACTATGTAAGTTGAGAGTGAGGTGTGGAGAGGTGAACTTGGCTGAGGGGGGAAACCCCACTGGGTGGCAGATGGTAAAAGAAGAGGCTGTTCTTGACAGGCGCTCCTGGTTTGTGGTTACCCCTGCGGTGGAGGGGAGGAAATGCCTAGCAGAGGCATTGGGGGTAGGTGATGGCGGGAGGGGGGACAGGAGGTGGCACTGGGGTGTGATTCTGCCAGACGAGCGGCACTGAACATTTGTCCTTTTTGCTGTGCTTGTATTTTCTAGGTGCATCAGAGGCTTTCTCCTTGGCAGAGTGTGAGAGTGGTCTATTGCAGTACAGTAGTGCCCTCTGATGGTAAGTATTGACATGGAGAAACTCTTGGCTCACTTCTGACTTCACTAACTTAAATCATGTTCGCTGACCCCTTTACTGGTTGAGGCTTTTTTGGCTAGCAGGTACTCCAGTTTTGGACTAAGGAAGTGACAGAGAACAAAGTCAGTCAAGAAGAAATAAGGAACTAGTCAACTTTTCTGATAACTGTCCTTAAAAAAACAGACAGGCCTTATAAAGAAAGATGTAATTGCATGCAACTGTCCAAATGTTTTTGCCAGACTTTTTCCTGATGTAGCCGTGAGGTCTGTGTGATGCCTACCTTTCAGGGTCCTGCGTGCCCCGATAACTTCATTTATGTAATGACATCATACCAGATACTTGCTCAAATGTTTGAAAGTACTGCTTGCTGCAGTGAATAAGTTGTGAAACCAAGGCAATTTTATTCCTTTATTTAAATTCTGGGACAGCTCAGACATTAAGCTTTTAAAATAAGGTTGTGATAACATAAAGCAAAAGAATGCCCTGGTGGAACTTTAAAAATCTCAGTATGATAGAATACAAAGAGGAAACAAGCAGCTTTGAGATCACTGCCGGCTTAACGTCTGCATGCTGTGCGCAAAGAGTAGAGCACTTATGCTGACTGACACAAGCGGTTAGTGGATCCTCTCCCTATTAAGGCTTGCTAATAAAGCCTGAAAGCTAATAAAGTAAAGAGTTCTGGCACAATTGCTTCCCCTGCCAGGATAGTGAGTGTGTGCAAACACAAAGAGAACGTGACTGCTGTGGAGAACTCAAAATAAAAACCTGAAAGCTTAAATAGATGTGTAGAGGGCAAATGTAAGGTTGAGAGGATAATGTAAGTGTGTAGCTACTTGCCTGATTTGATTTTTACCTTTCCTCATACTGTGCTTGAATACTTTTGTTGTTTCTTCCAATAACTTCACCTTTACCAGTAGTAAATGTTCAACACTGACTTCTTTGGCCACCTCCTTTTTTTACCGTACCTTGTTTTGGCGTAATGTATTGCCTCAGAAATCTTTAAAAAATACTAATGACCTGTTACTGGTGCACATAGGGTTGAGTGAAAACTTTGTAGTGCTTGGATGCAATTCATACCTCACAGCAACCACACGCTTAATATGATGTGTAAAGCTTTTAAAATTCTCCACTGTCTTATTTAGCAGCATCCCTGGCCAGGTTGTAGGTGTCTGTAAATATAAGTGAAATACAGTCGTATAAAATTACTTTATTTTACTTGTCCCGTTTATTTAAACACTGGCTTAAAATGTAATCAGTGAAGATTAGCCAAAGTGTTAGCTCTATAGTGATATGCCAAAATGCTTTGACCACTTAGTAGCTTGTAGTTGCCCTCGTGCAGGCAATCCACAGGGCTGCCAGAACAGAGGAGAGCAAGGCAGACAGTCATATCGCAGTGTCTTGTTAATAACTTTTACTGGAGCTGTCTGTTAGGTTTGTGTTACTGACATGTCCTTTAGATTTTTTTTCTTTTTTTTATTTGCCTCTGGGCTCTTCCCTCTCCAATGCAGTAGAAATCTGACCAGACGTTACTTGTGTGGGAGGTGATGAGAGGATCAAACTGGGATTATGGACTTTCCCCACCGGTGATTTAGGCTAGAAAATTACTTTTACAAGCTTTTTGTGAGGAAAACATAAACTAGCTGTAATTCCAGATTTTACAGAGCCTGTCATCCGAAATAAATAATTTGGTCTTTAACACTTCACCTAAGCTAGAGATCCTTGAGAAAGGTTTTGTGTGTGGTGCCAATGCTGATGACTCTTGGTGCAGTCTGTCCTATTGCGTTTATCACTGAGATCTCTTATCAGGTCTGTGGAGGGTTAAAATGCAGCAGGGCTGGTGCTGGTAGGCAATTCCTCCACAGCTGGCAGTCACTGAGCTGTGGTTGTGTTGTACCAATGGGGATACACTGAAAAGCGTTGGTGCAAACGCTGTTATCTGTTCTGCTCTACAATAAACTGGCTCGCTGCCTGTATAATCAAGGCAGCATTTTAAGTAAAGAATGTTTTTCCGTGTCTTGTGGTTATGTAAGCAGTGCATAAGTTAATGTTGTATATGCTGCTCACAGAACCAATGAATTCAATACTTAAGTGGCTATTTTAAGCTTCTAAACATGCTGATCATTCCATCTGAGCCTGCTATCACAAGTGTAGCTAATGCTAATCTATTTCTTACCAGTCTCTTGCTCAAATACTTGAGTGAAAGAATCAAAAAGTCTGATAGCTGGTGTCATAACAGCTGTTGATAAGGAGCTTGAAATTCTGTCTAAGTGTCCAAATAAATTGGCAGTTTGCTTTATTTTTTTCAGTAAATACCTGACTGTTGTCTCTGAGTAGCTTTAGTGTTTTGAAGCTTAAAACTAAAATCTTGTCAGGTGTCTGAATTTTGAGAATAGGTGTTTGTAGGCTTCCAAATACTGGGGCCTCTTGGGATGCTTTAATCCTTTTAGATGTCCATACTTGGTCATTTCCACCTAGTGTTTAAACATGACATGATGACCTCTTTGTCAGCACTGGATAGCAATCCCCTGGAACAGGGCAAAAAACCTTGGTATGCTTGATTCAATTCTTGAAGGCATGTGACAGTAAACCCAAAAGAACTCTTCTGGCTTTGTAAAAGTGTACTTGGTGCATCCTTTCTCAACAGCCTCCTCCCTTTTCAGAAGGGCATGTTGCCCCAAGACTTGTCCTAATATGCAAAGGATCCTGTGATAAACAGTTCTCTAATTTGGCAGCAAATCACTGAAAGGAGAGGCATAAAGGCAGTCAGTGGCAAAAATTTTTTAGCAGTGGCATGCTGAGAAAGAGTTTCCTTCGGTACTTAAAATTACATTATTTGCTTCTATTTCTACTTGCGTTGACTTCCTTGACCAACTAGTTTTGATGTTAGCTGCTTAAATTGACTTGGCATGTCAATACATGAGTTAGAGGAGTTTAAGTAGATGGTGTGGTTCTTAGAGTTGGCCAAAGCTACAACAGGTGGGAATATGAAGCCAGATGCAGTGTGGGTGGGTGTGACTGCACAAGCCTTGAGACATGGCAAATGCTCTGTGCGATAAAAAAGACCTTACATTTTTACATAAGAAAAATACGTAGCACTCCAAAGTGAATCATGTTTAGGTGTGCTGCTATATCTTGGCAACTACTGCACTCGGGGAAAATTTTGACTGTTTGTGACTCAGTAAAGGGCTTAGGGAATACGAACTCTTAACTTCATTTTTTCTATGTATGGATATCCTGAAGCACACAGTGGGCTGTGTTTCTGGCGGTAAAATAATAACTAGCTTATAGTTCATACAGGTCACTAACATAAATTTTAGAAAGGTACACTGAAATCCTTAAGAAAGCTCTTGAAAAAGCTCCTGACAGCACTAAGGAAATGGAAAATGTTGTTTTATCTACACCTAAGAAGTAATGTCTATCTTCTGAAGTACAAAATGTATTGATCCCATGAATTTTAGATGAAATGACCTTGAAGCTTAAACTCGGAGCACTGTTGCTACAACCTCGTACTCCTTGACTGCTCTCTTAAATATTTTTGTTGTCTTAGGAGAGAGAGGAGCAAACTGGAACTAAACAAGAATAAAAAGGTTTGAAGTAGGTTATTCCTTGATCTTTCCTAATATACACAGTCTGGCTTTGGGTATAAATCCAGATAAATTGCAGAGTGTTTTGTTTTCTGTAGTCCAAAATACTTTGGTTCTCAAAAACTAATACATAATGGTTCTCAAAAACACATACTGTGCTGCCATGTTGTGGCTTTTAGATATCATGTTGCATTGTCTCTAAATTGGAGGCATAGATTTGACAGATGGACTACTTGGTGGATAAGGAATTGGCTGGACGGTCGCACTCAAAAGGGTTGTGGTCAACAGCTCAATGGTCAAGTGGCAAGCAGTGGCAAGTGGTGTTCCTCAGGGGTCAGTACTGGAACCGGTACTATTTAACATCTTTGGTGGTGACACGGATGTTGGGATTGAGTGCACCGTCAGCAAGTTCGCTGACAACACCAAGCTTTGTGGCGTGGTCAACATGCTGGAGAGGAGGAATGCCATCCAGAGAGACCTGGACAGGCTTGAGGGGTCGGCCTGTGCAAACCTCATGAAGTTCAACCAGGCCGAGTGCAAGGTCCTGCATATGGGTCAGGGCAATCTCATGCACAAATATAGGCTGGACAGAGAATGGATTGGGAGCAGCCCTGAGGAGAAAAGGACTTGGGGGTGTTGGTGGATGAGAAACTCAACATGAGTCAGCAATGTGCGTTTGCAGCCCAGAAAGCCAACTGCATCCTGGGCTGCATCAAAAGAAGCGTGGCCAGCAGGTTGAGGGAGGTGATTCTGCCCCTCTACTCCACTCTCTTGAGACCCCATCTGCAGTACTACGTCCAGCTCTGGGGCCCCCAGCATAAGAAGGACATGGACCTGTTGGAGTAGGTCCAGAGGAGGGCCACAAAGATGATCAGAGGGCTGGAGCACCTCTCCTGTGAAGACAGGCAGAGGGAGCTGGAGTTGTTCAGCCTGGAGAAGAGAAGGCTCCAGGGAGACCTAAGAGCCCCAGGTACCTAAAGGGTCCTACAGGAAAGCTGGGGAGGGACTCTTTATCAGGGAGTGGAGCAATAGGATGAGGGGGAATGGTTTTAAACTGAAAGAGGGGAGATTTAGATTAGATATCAGGAAGAAATTCTTGACTGTGAGGGTGGTGAGCCCCTTGCGCAGGTTGCCCTGAGAAGCTGTGGCTGCCCCATCCCCGGAGGTGTTCAGGGCCAGGCTGGAAGGGGACTTGGAGCAACCTGGGCTGGTGGGAGGTGTCCCTGCCCATGGCAGGGGGGGGGGACTAGATGATCTTTAAGGTCCCTTCCAAATCTAACCGTTCGGTGATTCTATGATAAATGTGATTGGGCTTAGAGTAAACATCTTCTACTTTTCCACAAAGCACAGAAAGTTTAACAGATACTGCCAAGTTAATGGGAGTGAAAACCTCTGTCATCCCTCTATTTTTCTTTGATGGACACATCTATTGATAAAAGATGAACCAAAAACTTAGTCTCTTTCATGTTCGGCTCATAACAGTGTTTGCCTTTTTCTCCATGGGACAAATACATAACTATTACAAGAAGGTCGATTAATTTTTAATGATAAACTTGCATTTTTGTTGTCTTTGTAGAAGTGACGGTGGTTTACCAAAACGGGTTACCTGTGATTTCTGTGAATCTTCCATCCCGGCGTGAGCGTTGCCAGTTCACGCTTAAACCGATCTCAGACTCTGTTGGTGTGTTCTTACAACAGCTGCAAGCAGAGGACCGTGGAATTGATCGGGTTGCAATCTATTCAGCAGGTACTGTTGTTTACAAACTAATTGATTTACTTCTTTGCCAGCTATTTTCATCTAGCCTTTAGCTTTTTACGTAAAAGCTTGTTATGGTGTGAGATCTTGGACATTCCTGAAAAAACAGAAGGTAGAAATGCCATTCCTAGAGTAAGAATATTGTTAACTGTCCCTGTATAGTCTGGTCTGCCAAGGAAATCTGACTGTAGAGTGAAGTAAGAAAACATTCCTAATGCTTAGCTTACGTCCATTAGGACTAATGTCTGTGTTTTTGGTGAGTTTCCTACTATTTAGTATGAAAGATGCAAGCTATGCAACCTATGTGAATATTCCAGTTGATTTGTAAGGAATTGAGTGTAAAAGGTGGTACAAGGGAAATAGTATCTTGCTTAGCTATGAAAACTTGGTCATATTTCATTTAATGTCACATTTTGCTATGTTTTGCTCGATTGCTATGTGTCTGGTAGCCACCAAAGCTCTGAAATGTCACGAGGACGTCTTATGAAAGTGCCATTAAAGCAGGTGTTTCCTGAAAAGTCTTGGCCTGAGAGTGTTTGCTAACTTAGTGATGTCAAAGCTGTCTGATATCAGAGATTGAAATAATCATTTCTAATGCCAGTGGGGAGAGATGAAGGTGACTTAAGTGGATTGTATTGCAAAACATAGTAAAATATTCAAACTGTGCAGGATGACCTGAACTGCTTTTTATAAGATGACCTAAAATATCAAAGATTTAGAAAAGCAGCTGCACACATAGCTCAGCTGGTATTTGCCATGTTAAGCTCCCCCAATCTATATATCCATCTTGATGAAGAGTATTGTCTGTGGAAAAACGTGGAAGTCCAACAACTGGATTTGGGATGGCATTACAACTTACTTAGCTACAGCATGTTTAGGTATTTTGTTTCTACTGTTTAACAAGTCATCTGTGTTTGCCTTGCAGATGGCACGCGTGTCGCCTCCTCCACAGGCATAGATTTGCTTCTGCTGGATGACTTCAAACTGATCATTAATGATGTCACATACCATGTTAGACCACCAAAGAGAGGTAAACCAGCCTCGTTCTGGTAAACATTAGAATTAAGTTTCAGTATTCAGTTCCCTGTTAAATTGCAGCCTGCTTCATTAACTTGTTCAAGAACATGAAGTGTTATCTCTAAAGGAAACCCTGCAGTATCTAATCCTGCCCTTGGACGCTAAATTAGTGATATCCAAGTAATCGGAATAGTCAATGATGAAAAGCAAATATTCATTCTGCTCAAAGCCAGTAAAACCCCCCCGCACAAGAGGAATAAATAAAGAAATGTAATTTCTTTTAATTTCTAAATTTTTCTGATTTTTTTTTCTAATTACTGAAAAGTAATTTAATTTAACTCATTCTGAAGGAGTACAATATAAAATGGGAATTAGATTGAAACTTACATTATCTGATTTGGAAGAATAAATCGTTCCCTCACCTGACAGTTAACATTATTTCCTTTTAAGTGTGGTACTTTGAATATTGCAAATAAACCTTGAAACCTTGTTAGCTAACAAGCAGTGAAATAGATGAGACCGTGCTCTTACAAGATTATATTACTAAGAATTAAATAGGAAGGGAAGCCAACCTATTTTGAATCAATTAGAAAATGCTTTTAAGTAATGGGCTTTGAATGTGAAAACTTGTAAGAAGCTTTTGAGACACTCCAGAGTTCCTGGCGAAGGAACTTGATATTTTCATCTGTGAGACACTCCAGAGTTCCTGGCGAAGGTAGGAACTTGATATTTTCATCTACTGTCTACTCTTTCTCCTAGGCGACTTTATAGGCTTCATAAAGCACCAGCTTCTCGCATGCCTGTAATTACCTCTGAGGACTTAAGCAAAAGGACCAGTTTTGGAAATGTTGCTCTGCTTGTTGCTTGGCTAACGGATAGTGAGGCATTTTTGTCTATCTTGTTGTTCTGTTATTGTTGCGGGCGATAACGTGAAGTTTGCAAGCAGTATTTTTCTAAAAGGAATTTTTAGCCTTGTAGACAGGAAAACAAATTAGTAAGGATTTATAATTTGACTTGCATGTCCAGGTGAGGTTAGATGGTGGAAATGCCTTCCCCTATTTATCTGGATGTTTTCCCTAGTGTTCGGGCCTTCCTCTCTTATGCCTCTCTTCAAGTAGTAGATAATGAACAAAATCATTCATAAGGCAAAAGCTGCAAGGGAACTGTTAATGTTCCTTTTACCATCTTGAGCAGCCTGAGTAAGACAACATGATAACGGAGGCTGATCTATCAAAAATCAGGAGACTGACCATATCTTTTGGGTCCGAGACTACCTTGGGTGGCTCTCTTCCAGGAAGACCTGCTGTTACATGCCATCTTCCTCTGTAGATGTAGTTGGCTTCCAAGGATATTTGTGCAAGGAAAATAATAAAAATTTATTCTAGCGTTTTATTGTTCATAATATCAAAATACCATGTAGAAAAGAAATTTCTGACTTGGGGAACTTTGTGCAGCTACTTGTGCAGCATGCAGGAGTCTCTGGAATTGGGAGCATAGCATTGGGTGAGATGTTGTTTCTCCCCTATCTGTGAATTAGACTGACCTCCACTAGAGATGTGTTATTCCATCTCCCTAAAAGCACCGTGACAGAAAACTCTGCATTAAGACTGAGTATCTCTCGCACACAAAAAAAAAGTTACCCTCTGCTCTCTCAACCCACTGCTCTGTGTCCTGAATGTGGTGTTTTCACCCACTTAAAAGATACTGTAAGCCAGAGAAGTAGAGTGAGTATTTTAGCAACATATCTCTTCCAACTGTTAGCCCCTGAGAGCAGGTGATGATATCGAGCCTAGCTGGTCTAGTCTGTAATTTTTAGTACAACTAAATGAGAATGCAAACATGGTGTCTATTTCTGCACTGGAGAAATCGCTGTCCCAAGGTAAGGCAATTCATACATCCCACTTACCTAATGTTTGGGAGAGCAAAGTTTGTGTCAGTGAGTCGGTGTGGCTTTGGTTAGCTCGCTTGTATGATCTACCCGTTGTGTGCCGGTAGGTGAGCTCTGGGATCACCTAGGTTACATGAAATGCACCCTCCGATTCGTTTGCCAAGGAGATTTCTATAGTTAGCTTGTGTTAAAATGAATGTGCCCATAAATAGGCCCTGGGATTAGTTCTGTTAAACTTCTCAGCTATTGCTTTTCCATTTTTTACAAAATCACCCTGTGTATTTTGAGATGGAAATGCCAGAATACTGTAATCTCAAATACTAAGTACTTTTTGATGGTCCCTTCAGTAGGAACACTTGGGTGGTTTTTTTTTTCCTTCATAGGGGAAGAGCAGCCCCTTAGCTGGGAGGGGAATACGGTGTGCTTTGTGTGCCTTGGCACAGACAACTGAGTCACTTTGTTCCCCTGAGCTGCTAGTGGTAAAACTTAAGTTGTCCGTAGCTTTTAATGAATCTAAACTCTTTATCTCATTTGAGAGTTGCAGGCCAAGTCCAGACAGGTTGCTGCAGCTTTCCCGTGTCAGTTCTGTTTTCTGTGTTGGTAAAATTGTATTTTGAGAAGATCACTTTAGGTACAAGACCAAGGATGCTACAAAAAAAATTCTATGTGTGTATATATTATATTTTTTTTTTTAGATTATTTGGCTAATGTCAATTTCTCTTGCTTTAATTTGAAACTTGGGGTGGTTTTTTTTTTCATATGGAGTGTGTAATATATCACTAGTCATAACTCCTTTACAAGTTGATTTCCTTTGGGAATCCTTTTTGTGTTGAAATGCGGGGATAAAGGCAGTTTCAGTTAGTGGCCCTGTTACAGTTTTCATTTAAATACTGTGAGGGAGAATTCCATTGTCCTATAGGCATCATAGCACAGGGTTGCCCACAGAGTGTTGAGAAACAATTCCTGGCATTGGTATTTAAAGTAATTATCTTAAGACTACATGTTCTGGGGCTACTAACCCAAGATCTTTGGCTGCCATTATCAATAATTGTGGTTGCTGATGTCTGAATTCTGTCTGTTTCTTGACAGCTGGTGTGATGCATAGTGCTCATTTAGTTGTTCGGTTGTCTTTAGCAGACTAATAGTAGTTTCTGAAGAGTATATGAGAAGTTCTGTGGATAAATGCATATAAAGCAGTCTCTTTTTTTCCTAGAGCTCTTAAGCCATGAAAATGCAACGACGCTGAATGATGTCATTCAGCAGTTGTACACTGCCTTGTGCATTGAGGAGCACCAGCTGAACAAAGAGAAGGAGCTGATAGGGAGACTAGAGGAATTGAAGGAGCAACTAGCACCACTAGAAAAAGTGAGACGTTTCCCATTGTATTTTACTTATCCTCTAAATGTGGCCTTAATTTATTTCAAGGTTTTAATTAGATCCCTGGCATGCTTCCAATAGTTTTAAGATCATTGAAGCGGAAGATGCAGTAAGTGTATACCCAACCATGTCTGTTTCTGGTTTCTGTGGAAGTATTTTGTTTACTTGCTTTATATAATCGGAAATGAACTTGGTAGTAAATAAAGATGGGGGATAATGCAACAGGACATCTCTGAACATAGAGAAATAAGCAGTTTTGCAAGGTATGCAGAGCATGCTCAGAGTAAAATTTGGATGATGGTAAGATACTGATGGAAAAGAAGCCTGGATTTCTCTGCATTAACCTAGACTTAAATTATACGTCTCAACTTAAGATTTAATATAAATACAAGGTGTTATTTTTACATATCTCTTAATTATATTAACATTCTATTTTTGAGAATGTAAGATGTGTACTTCTGTCTCCTTCAGGTAAGGATGGAGCTCAGCAGGCAAGCAGAGAAGAGGACAACCTTGGTTTTGTGGGGAGGCCTGGCCTACATGGCCACTCAGTTTGGGATTCTGGCCCGCCTCACCTGGTGGGAGTATTCTTGGGACATTATGGAACCAGTCACCTATTTCATCACCTATGGTAGTGCCATGGCAATGTACGCTTATTTCGTAATGACTCGCCAGGTAGGACTTGTTGTGCTGACGACACTTCAGTAGAAGACTTGCTTTGAGCTCTACTCCCTAGAAAAATAGGAAAATTGTGCCTGTTAGAAGTGTCTTTTCCCCTTCCTTATCCTGTCGGAACCTAGATGCCACTTGATTAAATTTGTGCTGTCCAGGATGGTGGTGTATGGTTGTGGGGTCTTCTGGTGGTGGTGGTGATTGCTGATTTCTTGGTTGGCTTACCATAAATGCTTATGTATGTTCTGTGATTGACTGCTTTAGCTATGCGGGTTCATCTAGTGATGGGTAATAGTTTCTGCATGCACACACACATGCAGTGTCACACACGTTGACTTGCTCCAAAGGCCTCCAAGAGCTGTGATTTATCAGCCCAAATAAACCAGGTGCATGAGGTACCTTCTGAGTTTCAAGAAAGAACACATCTCTGACATGAGATGCTGGTCTTTTTAAAGAGAAAAATGTTCGGGGATCGCGTTGGAAGTGCTTTTGTTTGTGTTTCATGGGTCTGGCCTCCAGATGAAAGATCTTTCTCTGGATCCTTGTAGTTGTGATGGACTCTGGATTTCTAGTACGTGGTTTGTCTCATCGCTCCCCCTTAAACTTCATAATCCCACCTAATAATGAGGAAGGGCTCAAAGAGTCTCTGTTGTCATAAGACCATTAGAGCAGAGGCTGCAGGTGTTTCAGTGTGGTGTCCCCGGGGGTCTACATCATTTCAGGGGCTGAGGACACATGTGCCGCAGTAGTTTTTGCCAAATGCAGTTGGAATTTCTGCCGCATTTGAACTCAGATTTGATGTTTTAATCATCATCTGTATCAATTAGTCCCTCTTCTGCCAGACCTTAAAATCTGGATGTTTCAGGGATGGCTTGACTCTGAATGCAGCTTTTCTCCACCTGACAGCCCTGATCATTGGATGCATACCAGACACAGAGGCTGTGTGATGTTCCGGTGCAAGGGAGAGTTAACTGCAGCAGAGGCAGACCCGTGCTTTGTAGAGGCTATGTGGGATTTGGTGTGAACAGCTCTGCTGCTCAGTTATCTGCACGCTCTAAAAAGCTGTGACTTTTTACAGTAGAGTATCCCTGGCAAAAGCTGTTGTATTGGGTTCTTGTTCTTACTTGCATAGCTTGGTTAAGAGATGAACTCACGAGCAACTATTGTTGCTTTAATTAGCTATTCCGTGTTTATGACCTTAAGAAAAAGAGTCAGGGCCATCTTCCAAAGGCTTATTCTGGTGTTTATAGCTTTTTTTCTTCCCTTTCTCCCCACCAACTTTTGGGTATTGGAACTTTGAAATGTGTTAGTTTTTGTTCTCTCTGCATGGAAGGATTCACACCTTCAGGACAGGAGGGAGGTGATGGTAACTCGCTGCTGGAGTGTAACCATATGAGTAGAGAAGCAAATGCCTGACTGTACTGGGTCTGGCTGGGATGGAGTTAATGCTCTTCATAGCAGCTGGTATGGTGCGTGTTTTGGATTTGTGACCAAAACAGTCTTGATAATGCAACAGTGTTTTTGCTATTGCTGAACAGTGCTTGCACAGCATCAAGGCCCTCTCTGTTTTGTTGCTTCCCCCACCCCGGGGCCCCCCAGGAACAGGCTGAAGGGTGGGTGAGGTGTTGTGAGGGCACACAGCCAAGACAGCTGACCTGAACTGACCAAAGAGATATTCCATACCATATGATGTCATGTTCAGCAGTAAACCGGGGGGGAGGAGGTAGTTTCTCCAAAGTAGCTGTTGCTCAGAGACTAGTTGGGCATTGGTCTGCTGGTGGGAGCTGGTGAGTGGTTGCTTTTGCATCACTCTTACAGGTTTCTCCATCACTTATTAAGCTGTCTTTGTCTCGGCTCTTGAGTTGTTCTTGATTTTTGCCCTTTTGATTCTCTTCCCCCATCCGGCTGCAGGGGAGTGAGTGACTGGGTGGGGTCTTAGCTGCAGCTGGGGTTACCCCACCACACTGGGTGAGCTTAGACAATGCTGTCTGGTCTTGTGCCTTTGCTGACAGAAACTAGTCATCCTCCCAAAACACACCTGATACATACTGTGCCAAGTTGTATCCTGTTGTGGCTTTATTCCTATCTTCTCTTTTTTTTTTTCTTTTTAGGAATATGTTTATCCAGATGCCAGAGACAGACAGTACTTATTATTTTTCCATAAAGGAGCCAAAAAGACACGATTTGATCTAGAGAAATACAATCAACTCAAGGATGCAATTGCTCAGGTAACAAGAATTTTTTCAGAAGTAAGACAAAGAAATTACTGCTTGGTAGTTCTTAGCTGCTATTAATAGATTCATCTCAAACAAGAATGGATGTATCTTAAGTTTTCAGCCCACTTTCTTGTCACAGTCCCAGTGCAGTCACTGAATTGGCTTTGATATGCCCAGGAATAGAACTGCTGGATGTGTAAATCAACATGAAATGGTTGCCTGAATGTATCTGTAAGGGCCTTTTAGAAACTGCTGGCAAATCTCGAGTTGCTTCAGGCATTTCATGCCTCAGAGGAGCCTAATTCAAGATTTCCTTTCTTCTCAGCTCCTACACACCAGATGGATTTAGTGAGGAGTGAAGACTTGCATCCATTCAGTTCATGTCTTCCTGACATAGCACTTCAGTGCACTGGGTTGCAGTCCTGGAAAGTAATGTTAAAAAAAAAATTTAGCTGTATTGTTAGAGGCAGTGGGGGCAGATTTCTCATATTCTGCAGATGAACACTTTTGGCAGACTATCCACATTGTGGGATCTGTTCAACAAAGGAGTCAGGTAGAGATCTTTCCTCGTGTTTCTGAGAGCCTTTCTGCAGAAGGATGGCATAAGCAGAAAAAGCAGAGCTACCACATTCTTTTTCACTGCTCCGTATCATTCTCTGTTTATTCTTAGGCTCTGGAAATGACAGTGTAGGATATCCAGGGCAAGATGTGTTCTTCCTCTGCCTTGAAGAAGGAGCTGCACAAGGAGTAGAAGGGAGGTCAGGACGAGGATCTTTCATGAGAAAATCCAGAAAGACCTTTGGGTGTCCTCATGCCGTGTTGAATACAGATACCCTTGGGTAGCTGTATTTTCATGGAGCTTTTCTTCTAGAGTCAACCATTCCCACGAATCTAGTTGGTTTGGGTTGTTTTTTTTTTTTTAAAAGAAAAGGTTGCAGTGAGCTTATGGGAATCAAATCTTCCCTACCATATTCCTTTTAAGTGACTGCATGTAGACAGGTTTAGAGAAGTACAGAGCACGTGTCTTCCAGTAAGTGCTGAGAATGGTTTTCCCAAATATGAGCCTGTGACTTTGCTTTACTTTTTGAACGCTTCCCTGCTGGACAGGAAAAACAAGGAAATACGGAAAAGCTTTCCATTCTGTAAAGGGGAATGGTATTGGGGAAGGTGTATTGAGAGCTTGTTCTTTATAATGTGTCTTTTGCTTTTAGGCAGAATTGGACCTTAAGAGGCTTCGAGACCCGCTGCAGGTTCACCTGCCCATCCAGCAAATTGATGAAAAGGACTGATCAGCAAAGAAGTTCTGAACCCCGGCAAAAAACCTGTTCATAGCTCTTGCCTTGTTAATTAAAGCATTGCAGGTGGAAGCTGGGAGGTGATGTGGGGGTGGAGGGTTTTTACCTTTAATCAAGACAAAGGACTGTAGGGGGGGGGAATCTCTTAAATCTGAAGATGGGACATTATGGAATGTTAGTTCTGAAAAGGGCTTGGCAAATAGTCACGTTTAAAAACCATCTGAATGGCAATTGTATACAAATACAGGATTGGGGGGTTCATGAAAAGAATGTAATGCTGGGGTGTAGGGGTGTCTTCTTCCAGCTTTGCAGGGTCTGTCTCTTGATAAGACACCAGCAGCCTGCTTAGCTTTTTAAATTTTCCTTTACCTGATTCAGATCTCTCTTTCTCTCTCGGTGGAAGCTGGGAGGTGATGTGGGGGTGGAGGGTTTTTACCTTTAATCAAGACAAAGGACTGTAGGGGGGGGGAATCTCTTAAATCTGAAGATGGGACATTATGGAATGTTAGTTCTGAAAAGGGCTTGGCAAATAGTCACGTTTAAAAACCATCTGAATGGCAATTGTATACAAATACAGGATTGGGGGGTTCATGAAAAGAATGTAATGCTGGGGTGTAGGGGTGTCTTCTTCCAGCTTTGCAGGGTCTGTCTCTTGATAAGACACCAGCAGCCTGCTTAGCTTTTTAAATTTTCCTTTACCTGATTCAGATCCTTCTTTCTCCCTCAAAAAAAAAAAAAAGAACAAAGAATCCAAGCCACCTGGAGCTATGGCTGGTGATCAGAACTTGCACTCCACCGCCATTAACACGCACACTTCTGATCAGACCTGGTCTCTTTTATAAAGTTACTACAAGACTGCTTTCTACTGGAAAACCGTGAGCTTCCCCTTCCCAGCCCACCCCATGTGCTCCACTGACTTCCTCCTTTGCTTATTTATAGCACAAATTGGTTGTAGCCAAGTGAGAGAAGGAACGAGTTTTCTTCTGGACATTTGATAATTGATCTTTTGGATTATTCCATAATAACTATATAAACTTTGCGTCCCGGTGCCCTTGAGCTCCTTCTAGAAATCAATGGCAGCATTGCATGAGAGGTTTTTTTTATATTCAGTCTTAAAGGAGGGATATTCCCCTCTTCCTACCCCAAATCTGATAGCCACCTGGACTATGAAATGATGAATGTTTAAAGGATTATCGTGACTCCTGCTTAAATGAACAGTTTTGGAGTATGGAATAATTAAACTTGATATTTGGCTGCTTGTGTAACGGGATAAAAAGTCTCATATGGTCAAAGCATTTTCTTTGCCTGGAGGCTTTTTGAAAGCCACGGGCTTTTACAGTGCAAGACACAGAACTACTTCAGTTCTCCAGCACTTTCCCCTGCTTAAGTAGCTTTAAATGAACTTTGCACCCACAGGCCAGAATTTCTTAGGAGTGGCTAATGACATCTCTTGTTCTTAGCTAAAAGAAATAGAGGAAGGAAAGTCAACCCATTGCCCTTTCTTCTAGCCAAGGCTGGCTGATTTCTAAGCAGATAAAAATCATTTCGTTCAAAGCGGGTCAGTCTGTTTTAGCATCCTGCTGATAAATACTGTGGAGACAGGATGAAGGTGTGAGAAGGGCACTAAGCTTTATATACAGAAAGGCTAGCTGCTTTTTTGACGTTTCACTACTACTCCTCACTGTGTCATGGAAAGAGGCTTCTGGGTTTTTTGGAGAACCAAGTTTTAAAAAAAAAAAAAAAGGAAAGAAAAAACAAATCAGTATTAATAGATGCCAGGTGCCTTGCAGATGTGGAAACACAGCTGGGATTGCTGCCTCTTCTCACTCAATGGCATGTTGGACCGAATGGGTGCATGTTTCTAGTTTGTTTGTTTGTTGTTTTTTTTTCCCCTTCCCCTTTTCCTCTGTCTTTCAATTTAATTACATTGTGTGATTATTTTTTATCTGTTTTATCCTGTTTGTGTGGTGAGTTTTAAAGGGAAAAAAATGAACACGATCCTGTAGCTGAATCCTTGGTGTGTTTGGGATGAGGGAGGGAGCATGGAGAAAAGTCCTTCTTTAAACAAAACAAAACAAAAAAAAAAACCACAACAAAACCTGAACATGTGTAAAATCCTGTATCATTTATGAAATATGTATAAAAGAGCAATGTACTTCTGGAACAATAAATAACTATTCAATTTTTGAATTGGTGCTCTTGAATAATGTTATTTTCCCCAGCTGAGAATATTCTATGTGTGGCAGCTGTCCTGCTGAGTTTCCTCCATTTCTTTTTGTTTAGGTTGTTTCTTCTTGACCTTACTTCACTGAGGCCATGATGCAGATAATAGCTTTCCTGAAGAAGCTCGGATGGAGATCTTGCTGCCATGCCTAGCTGCGTAACACAGGGACCTCAGGAGCAGTTGAGGTGGTGAGGTAGAAGTAGAGATGTTTGGTCTAACAAAGATCTGACTTTGTTTGACAAGCGTAGAAGCTCCACATGGAGGCTGCCAAAGTCTGGAGACGTGTGGCAGGCTTGCAGGATAAGAATGTATATGGGTGTGCAATGCCCAGCAACCTAAAATGTACCAAGTGGTGTCAGTGTATTTCTATATTGCATTCAAGAGCTGTTTCAGAGGAAAACTGAAGCTTTAAGCTTCTGTTACTTTCTTTCTGGGCCCTCGAATGGCTGTGGTGTGATTTTTGACATGGTGACATATCATTTGTTTGTTAACTTTGGGACTCAGCAGACTGTACTTTGTCCTAACTTTATGGGATGTTATGTTGAGATGTTTGGTGCCAGAACACTTTTATCACGTCCATTGACTGTTTAAAAAAAAAATAAAAATAAAATCCAGGATTGGCCAGTTCTTAAAACAGCCAACTCTTTCCTGTGTTTTTGGAAGGTAGAGAGGAGAGGCTGGAGGCTGTTAGTTGTTGTGACCTGCCTTCAATCACCATTGAAATTTAGTTCAGCAATGCTGACAAACCTTCTTCCAAGCAGCCCTCAGTCTGCTGCCACGTACAGATGAGCTGCTGCCCTCCCTAGACAAATTGCTTGGAACAATTGCATAAGAACTCATCCGTTTTCACATCCAGAAGAACTGAGGTCTTTGACATCTAGCACCACAATCCCTGTTTTGAAAGCAAGAAAATGGTGTGACAAAATTGTTACTGCACGTGCTTTAATGTTGTTCTAGAGACAGTGTGGGAAAAGGAGTAAAATAAGAGTCTACAATTGTACACTTAAATGTGGGCTGTGCGGTGGGTCTTTGTTAGTTTGTACTCTTGGAAGATTGCTATCTCACCACTCTCTGTACCACCAGTGCACACGTGGCCTCTGCAGGAGGTGGATGACATGCCACAAACCTCAAACTCAAACCTCATTGCTTCTGCTTTTGTTGCCCTTGAAGGCTAACATCAAAGGGAAGGGTGATGTTTGGTCTCCTGATATACCCTGTTGTATATCAACATCAACAAACTCTCTTGCAGTCTCTATTTCATGCCTCAGAACCAGGCAGGTAGTAGGGTCCTGTCCCACTGGCAGCACTTCAGAGCAGGGAGCGCTGCCTGAATCTTAATTTAACACTGCTTTCTTAAGACCCTGCGAAGGATGAACAGCAATGTGCATTGCAGTGTTCAGATGCTGCTTTTTCTACCAGTTTTGTTATTCATTTGATTAACCTCTGTTCCCCTTTTTCTACGAGGGAACGTTCAAATAAATACATGTCAAATTCAAAATTGTCTGGAGAAACGTATTAGGTTCCCATTTTGCCATGCCTGCAAGGCATGTACTTTGCAAGCCTGTCCAGGGGAGGTGTTCATGGCTCCTTGTTCCTGAAGAGCAAAGAAGAAACCCTTTTTCTTTTCCCCTGTAACCCTTCTGACCTGGTAGGCAGTGAAGATGATCACCTTGCTGCAAGTTCTTACGCCTCCACATTGGCTCTAAGAGGGTTTGCATGATGCTCTAAAGCTGCTGTTGGCTGTCGGACCTTGGCACTATGTCAATCAAGTGAAGCTGGCCAAGTTGCCCTGTCTTTCTGAGCCAGTGGAATAATTTCTTTGATCTCCTCTGTGGTTTTTGTGTGGAGTTGTAAATGCTCCTCACTGCTTTCCTCTGTGCAATGTTGTATGACTTTTATTTTCACACGGGAAGGAGATTTTCCGTATCTTAATTATTTTTCTACCTATCCCTAGAGATTCCAATTATTCCCTTTTTTTAAAAAAAACAAAAAACAAACCAAAAAAACAGGTTTATGTCTATACAGACATTAAAGGGGTGAAAAGTAAAATACAGGAATGGAAATTAAACTTGCAGTGCATCTAAGCCCTGAAGTATGGGAGAAGCTGGTGTTACGCTGTGTCATTGTGGCTCTGTGAACTTGTAAAAGATGGGTCCTACTCCTTTTTCTGCAACTGACTAGTTTTGCAATTGTGGGTATGCTGTGTATGTCCTAATTCCTCCATCTATAAACTGAAGATCATGGAAAATACACTGGGTTCTGTAGGACCTGTGTGAAAAACACTCTCAGAACACTCAAGTCCTGCATCACAGGGCTCCACTAAGGCAAAGGCAGTAACTGCCTCTCTTCACTAGGACTTCTGTACTTGTCTGATTTTAATGTGGTCTTGGTGTATTACTTGTTCTCGTGTTGAGTTTGCTCATGCTTCAAACTCACGTTCACTCCCTGATCTCAACAGCCCTTCCCATTGGCACTGTGTCCTGGGACAAGTTGTTTACAGAAACAAGGCCTATCTCGAAGTCCTTGACATTCATGCAATCCATCTCAGCAGCCTGTCAAGGCTTATTGTGAACATACATCCTCAAATCAATCGCAGGCAGGGATCCTGTCGTGTGTGTCAGGTTCTCCTCTCCCTCAGCGCCAGGAAATGCTGATTAGCTCTTCCGCCTTCTCCTTCTAGGCAGGCTGCAGGAGTTGCTCCTCCACCAAGAGCTGGTCTTCACACACCTCCCTTTCATCAGTCGTTGGTGTGTCTTGAGAGGTGGCTCTGGCAAAGATGAGGCCAGCTTCAGCAAACACCAAAGCATCTTTGTTCATTAGTCCATTACAAAGAGCTTGAGGCTTTCCAGCCTAGCAAATGCTTTAAAGAATTTGAGTTCCTTTTGTAAGGATGATAAAGCCCTCCAAATCTCTGGGAGGGGTGAGAAGTGTGGTTTCCACCTGCAAAATTACCTTCCTTTCTTGTATTAAGAATAGATATATCTGGGCTTATACAGCTGCAAGTTTAGAAGATACCATCTTTTGGGTTACCAAAATGAAATCCCAGCCCTCTATTTTAATACTGGGTTCCCTCTTCATATCTTTTAGCCCATGCTGATGAATATTTTTAACAAATACTAATTTGATCCTGTTTCTTCGTGCTTCGTCAGGCTCACTCATCTTTGTGTTGAGGAAGTAGAGGTTAGGAACAACAGATTTACCAGATCTGTCTAGAGAGTGCAGGCCCTACAGCATCTAGAGTACTCTATTGGAATTGTATCCTCTCTCCCAGAGGGTCTGTTTGCAGGAGGAGTTTTTGGGGTTTAATTTTTTTTTCCTTCCTTCCTGTCTCAGGAATAATTGCTGTAGCTCCTTGACATATAGATTTACAGTGGCCTACTCTAATACAGGCTACTATTTTTTGGGGCATTTGGAGCTATGTACGTCACCTGCAATAACTTGCAAAGCAAAGAGCAAGCTCTGATAGAAGAGTTGCTTCTGCTGGTGCTGCTTCTGGAAGACTGAGATGGTCTTTGTCTTTCCTGTGGATCCCAAAAATGTTTAGGGGCAGCACACTGAATCTTGTCTAGCTTTAGACTGTTTTTTTCAACTAAATAGTTAACGATCGTTTTGGGATAGTGTCATCTTTGGGAATGCTGGGCCATCTCCTGCTTTAATCCCTTTAGGAGAACTTAAAGAGGCCTATTTGTGACACCTTTGTGGCTCAAAACTGCTATGATGCAGTTTATTTCCTTTTGTTAATTGTCAGTTGTCAGTCACTTACATGTCACTGTCAAAACATTACTAGTGTCAGACCTAATATACCACCTACAAAAATGAAAGCAGTTCCTAACGAAATGGTTCAGAGAAATACACACATCTCTAACACAAATAGAAAATTCAATTCAAGCTTGTCAGTTTTATTTACCCAGGATCTTATGTATGAATCAACCTCTCAATGAAAATGGCAAAATATAACTTCCTGTGGCTTGCTGTATTATTCTCTGTTCAATTTTAGTTTCTCTTCTGGGAATTCACATAACCACCTTTTGAGGGTTATCTGCCTTGCTAGCTTTGCATAGTGAATTTGTTCTCCTTTCCTGTTGTGGAAAAAAAGACTTCTCTGGTACTGCGCAGCTGTCAGTGCATTATAGGCCCAAAGATTTTGTTATTTTGTGGTGGTGGTGGAGGGAGCAATGATAGTCATTTATAAAGCTGCTTTTGTTGTTCCCTAGAGTCATTCACCACTGAAAATGACTCTGCTGGGGTGGAGCAGAGCAGCGTACTGCACTTCACTGCTGGGGGAACTCCCAGACAGAGAGAGGCTGTTGAGAACTTTCTATAACGTACAATCTCTACAAAACAGGCAAATTCCCAATTCCTCGTCTCGTGCAAACTCAATATGAAAATAACACAGCTGATTTTTTTCTACTGGGATTTGAAGCTAGCACATCAACTTTAATGTTATCCCTTAGGTCAACCCCCTACAGAAATGCAGGGTGCAAAGGAAACAGGGAAATGCCTACATCTGCTTGATTGTGCAATTACGGTAGGCTTACCTGTACTCTTTGCTGAGGGGGAGCTTTCTGCCTGCCAGAAAGCTAGGTGATTTCCTGGAGTATGACCACTGTTCATAAGCAGGGAGGCACCTGTAGATGTGCACGTGTATGTATATGTTAAAAGTCTATTCTCTATAATAAGAGCTACAGCTAGTGGGATGAGAGGGGAGATCCCTTTCTGTTTATTTGTGTTTTCCTTGGTATCTCTCACCGCTAATCGTGCTGCTTGGTTTGCCTTAGTAGAGAACAGATTTCAGCGTGCTACGTCTCATCTATAGCCAAAGCTTGTGGTTGTGACCTGGAACTCAACCCAGTTTCGTTTCAACCAGTAAGGTAGAGGTTCTTAATTACTCAGTTTTGTATGGAAATTAATTCAGTACTGTTGGGTTTCTTGATTGTTGGTTTGGTTTTGGTGGGGTTTTTTTGTGTGTGTGTTTGGGTTTTTTTTAAAGATGGATCATAAGACTACTGCAGAAAAATGTCTTTATTTGCCTTGTTTGATAATCTTGCTCCATAAGACTACTGCAGAAAAATGTCTTTGCCTTGTTTGATAATCTTGCTGTAATGGTCAGGTTGTGTGACCAGGAGTGGAAAGGGTCTTTGTGTAGCGTAGGAACAGCTTATTTCCCTGCGGGACATCAGTCTTTCACTTTGACTGATGTTCCCATTGTAGCTCTGCTCCACGCACTCATCTGCAATCTCTGCTCGGAAGGATCGGTTCTCCTCCTTTGGCCACTATTTCCTGCAGTTAAGACTCTCTAGCTGGTGTTTTCTGCCTGTGAGGAGCCATGAAGTCGTATGACTTGTGGAAAGAGCAGAGATAACAACAAGCACCCATCTGTTCTTCTTTTCCATCCCTTCGGGATGTCCGGGTATCCCTGGTTAGAACTCTTCTCCAGATAAGATAGTGGAGGTGTCACTGTGGGGCGGTCAGGCCAGAAAACAATAGCGGGTTGAGTCCAAAAAACAAGATTGATCAGTAAGTACATCTCCGTTGTCAATAAGGGGCAGAACTGCTCTGTGGAGGTCAAGGCTGGAGCTGTACCCCACATCCCTTCAGCTTCTTCCTCTGATAAACTTCCAGGAGAGCTATCACACTTGCTCTTCAGAACGCTTGGGGTCAGAAGCTCTACTGAGAGGTAGGCTGCAAGAGCCACAGTCTGTGCAAGGGCTTTCAGGCCTCTGTTACTTGAGTGGTAACTGTTCCTTGGCTGAGTGGGATGTTGCAGTACTTGTTTTTCTCTATCTGCTTCATCATCCAGTTGCAGCCAGTGTCTTCGATGGGTGAGTAAAGAGGCATTGCCTTCAAGCTTATTTCTATTTGCCACCTTTAAGGTTCATGCAGAGCCTTGGTATTCTTAGGTAAAAGACTGAAAGACGTGAGAAATATCCTTTTTCTTGGAAGGTGGTGTGAAATTCTTTCCAATTGGAAAGATCTTTCTGTCACAGAGGGTGAATCCTCCCATATTGGGACAATCTCTACTGCCAAGACACTGGGATTTTCCTCTCTCTTTGGAGGAGAGACTCTACGAGTAGATATTACGCTACTTTACCTGCTTCTTTGACAAATCTTAACTGAATTTAGTGTCATAATGCAGTGCTGCTCCTTTCATTGCTTAGTCGTGCCACAGCAGAGACCTCCAGTTACACAATACACACAGGATTAATCTCTCTGCAGAATGGTGGGTTTATGAATGCTTGCTAGAGCCTGATTTGTCATCCAATATATATTCTAGCATGTCAGCTGGAGAACTAATGATTTCATCAAGATAACAAATTGAAAAGCTTTACTTCATAGCTAATGCTTGTCAGGCTGAATTGCTCAGGCCACGCAAGAAGTGTTGGGGAGGAAAAAATTGAGCCAAGAAAAATGAAAAACAGAGGGGAGCTGGAGACAGTTATATGTCTTGTGTACCCCCCCCACCCCCCAGTGCTTTTGTTGTTTGGGGAGGAGAGATGAGAGGTTGATTGGTTGTTTCTATATTTTTGTGATGCTTTTTTTTCTTAAAAACTCAGATTAATTTTCAGTAAATTGTGCTGCCAAAGACTGCTTGGTGTCTGCAGGGAGGTTGGCTTAGGGCAGCCCTAGCAGTCTGAGGTGTTCAAAAGTTCTGCTTTTTCTGCCTCCTCTTCACTCCTGCCTGAAGCTCTCGGAGAAATGAAAGCGGGGAAGGGCGTACCACCCCATTTCCCTGCTCCCCTTCTTCCAGGTGCCTCTGAGCTGCTACATGTTCATCTCAGTAAATTTGGTCTTTATATTATCTTCTAAATGTTTAGGAGACAATGTGATCTCCTTAGATGAGTGTTTTCAGTCTGTCTACAAAGAATATTTCATAAAGTTAATTATACTATATGAAAGCTAATGAGAGCGTGTGTATTTTTGGTGCTCCCCAGCTGGGAAGCTGACAGGGCATTCCTTGCTTTGCCTCGTTTGGCTTTTAACAACGCAAGAACCTTTTAATCTTAGTCAGTGAGTCACCCTAAGGCCATACCAAATCATCTTGTGGAAACCAAGTGAGTTACACTGAGGGAAGCCCGGAGGAAGCTCTCTTCAGCTATGTGCAAAGAAAAGGCAGGACCTATCTTTCCCTGTTGCAAGAAGTCAAGCAAGCTTTTTGGAGGATGGGATTTAACAGTGCTGCTGCTGTCTGTGGGCAAGGGGAGGCACGGAGAGGTGCGTGAAATCGAGAGCTCAATGGGGATTGTCTGGTGAATCTCATCAAAGATCTGCTGCGGTCCCCCCTCTGATGCTCAGGAGAACTAAGGGCTGGTTGTGGTGGGGAGTGAATCTGCTCTACATATCTCATGAATTATGGTACTAGAGGTTACCTTTGTAACCCAGACCTGCGCTCCCTGTGCCAGCTTGCAGCTCTGCAGCACTCTTATGACTACAGCAGCTGCCCCTGCCTTTTATGCCGCATTCGAGGCCAAACAGAATGTGTCTATAGCTGAGGATAGCATAAGGATGTTTGTCAAGAGAGTTGTTGTATTTGTGAGAAGGTACAAGATAGCATGTCAGTGAGACAGGTATTTACAGAGGTTGCAGCTAAATAAGGGTGACTTGAAGTCCATTCTCAGAAGCACTTGTAGTTCCCACTTCAAAGTCAGTGAAGCAAATCAAAATAATGAACCAAGAAGGTTTATCTGCATCCAGAGCATTCTAATAGAAATGAGAATGTCTCCTCCCCTTGAGGCCCCCCCCCCCCCCCCCCCCAAATTGCATCACCCTATTGTTTAAACAAAACAAACAGAGAAAGCAGTTTTAGAACTTGAAAAGAAACGTGGTGTGGAAAGTACAGGGTATTTCAGTCTGGGATGCATTTAATCAGAATGATTGGTTTTATTAGCCTAATTCTAGCAAGTGGTAATCAATTTTCTTTACTCAAGACAGCGTTAGCATTCATTTTGCTTAATAGGGAATAGCTAGTCATGGGTAAGTGGTGCTTGATCAGGTATTAGATGTAAATGAAAATGAAACCTCTGGACTTTTCGTGAGGAAGCTGCCAAATTGGGGTTAATTAGGAGAAGACTGAAAATGTAATGAACGCTTCAGTTTTTCATTCTTTTTCTCCCTATGGTATTCTTATGTTTTAATTGTTTGCAGAAGGTTCAGAAAGGCCTCTGAAAACGGACACGCTCTTTGAGCACTGCACAAACAGACACGGACATACCAGGAGATCCGTGTGTTTATATCTTGCCCTCACAAACACGCACTTCACTCACAAACATCTGATCTCCTGTGGGTTTGTGGGTGTGCAAGGACCGTGACTGCGTAAAGAGTTGAACATTTTGCTCCAGAAGGGCCTGATTCAGACCTTAATGTTATGTAGAATTTAAGATTTTAAGATAACAAAAAGATTTTGGGAAGCTGTTGCAGATGCAGGGAGATGGCAACATCTCATAAAACCACAAGAGATACTGTGAATCATGGAGGTGGTTAGCAGTTGGCAAAGAGGGAGGTGGGGGACCGAATCTTTAAAGGAGACCGGGTCACATGGACAGCGGAGAACAAAACTCCAGATAAATGGAGCAGGGTCTCTTTCTCCCACCTCACCTCTCTAAGCACACATTCTTGGTTGGAGTCAGCCTGCTGGGCTATAGATCAGCTTTATTGTGGTCTGGGATAGCAGCTCTTATATTTAGCTGTTTAAAATTGTACCCTCAAGTAAGTAGGAACTGATAAATTATGCTTAGAGATTGCTTACAGTTATTTAGAGGTCTAATAGTTGAAATTGAATATTTTCTTTCGGTACGCTTTAAGTGTAACATTCCTGTTGGATATCTTGCGGTTCATGCTTTAACTGATGCTTTATGGCAACTCAACCGTGAGGGCTGACATGGGCTATGGATGGATTTTTAGAGAGGCTGAATAACTTGTTTGAAGTCTGGTCCTCTTCTCCAAGACGTGGGAGAGTTACCAGTGCCTTCAGGAGGGGCTTGCAGGTGCTCAGTTAACATGTCACCAAAGGGTGGATGTCCTAGGCTTTATCCAGTGCTCCCAGGACATATTTCCTATGGCAAAATCACTCCCTGCACCTCAAGTTTATTTATATTACTTTTTCCCCCCCTATTGTACTCTACAGCTGCTAAACAGCATGTCAGACTGTTGCATAATGTTGTAAGAGCTCTGTTAATTTACTTTTTCTTCCAAGACATTTAAGTGGAGCTGTCAGAATTTTCCATAAGGCAATTAGTTAGCTGGTGTTGCTGTTTCTCCTCAGGGATCTCTATCCATCACAATGATTCTGTTAAGACAGGAATAGAAAAAGAAATCATTTTGCATTCCTTGCAATTATCAGTCAACAACTTGATTTGATATCTACCAGATGTTTTGTCTTGTCTCTTGCTGCATGTCTCAGCCCTGGACCCCTGCTCTGCCTACATCAGCCTGAACGAGCCCTGGAGGAACACAGATCATCAGATAAACGGTTCCCATGGCCAGCCAACATGCGACAGTCAAATCGACGGGGAATGGTATCGCTTCACTGGCATGGCTGGCGATGCTATGCCTACCTTCTGCATCCCGGAGAACCACTGTGGCACCCATGCTCCCATTTGGCTGAATGGCAGCCACCCGCGAGAGTCAGATGGCATCGTCCCACGCCAGGCCTGTGCCAGCTTCAATGGGAACTGCTGCCTTTGGAATACCACGATTGACGTCAAGGCGTGTCCGGGCGGGTACTACGTGTATCACTTAACCAAGCCTAGCGTTTGTTTCCATGCATACTGTGGGCGTAAGTAACTGCTGAGATTGCTTTTCTGAAACCCCTTCGTCCTCACGATGCAGGAGAGGTAGTGAGCATCCATATACCTGACAGTAGTGGCTGGTTTCTGGCTTTCTCACCCAGAAGCGTGTCAGGTGATGCCGTGCAGATGGTGGCCTGTCTATAAGAGACCGATTAGACTGTTTCACCTCTATGAATTCTAGCCTTTGTCCATAGCTGACCTGGCCGCAGTGATTTAATGCTCTCTGTGGGCCCTGTGGTTTGTCTTGGCATGCTACCAAAGCCAAAATTTGCATCTCTGACTTACAGTAATTAAACTAGATTGTTTCTCATCAGCTTCAGTCGTTCAGCTTTCCTAGTGTGGGCTATGTCTGTAACCGATGGACTAGACATAGGGTGTGAAGCTGTCGGTACCAATACAGTATTTTCGGTGCATGCTCAGTGGTTTGTGCTGACAACATTCTTGTCGTGCCCTAGATTTTTATGACATCTGTGATGTGGTGGATTGCCAGGACTCCTGCCTGGACACCAGTGACTGCACGTGTTCCCTGGGGACAACACTAGGACCAGATGGACAGACATGTCTTGGTAAGAGTAGAAATAACTTGTCAGTTACTGATGCTTTCTTTCCCCTTTGTTTTGTTGCTTGCATCTCAATCCATTGTCTCACAAAGCAGTATAAAAAAAGGAAAAGTATTTAGAGAAGTTTTTCCCCCTTGCTGCCTAGAAAAGGTCTTTGGTTCTGTAAATGGTTCCCCCAGGGTGAGATACAACATGCCATGACTGAATACATTCTGGTGCCCCTGGAGCTACACAAGTACAGAAGCTGGATTTGCTTTCTGCATGGTCCAGCTGCTGAAGGCAGCAACTTCACCGTCAGTAGTGGAGTCTCCTTGCAAGATCACAGTTCAGCCTCATTGGTATTCAGGAAAGGCTGTGCAGTCTGTCATTAGAGATTTCCTCTCGCCCACTCTGTTGAATGCCTCTTTCTTCCAAGAAGTTTTGCTGGCTGGCGCTACGCGCTGGTAGGGCTACGCGCTAAGCTTCACCATACTTACTGCCCTTGTGGGGCATTGTCCAGGGCCTAGGGTTTGAGGAGAGCCAAAGGATTGCAGGTCACAGCACAGCCTCAGTGGCTCTAGGCAGCATGACAAGGTGGTATTCAGGGGGCTGGCACTTGGTGACAGCGCTGGCAGAGGCTGACGTGACTAGGAGGGAGGTGGAGGGCTGTAAGTGAGAGCAAAGCGGGCTTCAGGGATTTTTGAGGATATCCCCATGAACATGAGGTGAAGGACAGCTGTGGTTGTGTGTGGTGCTGGGAGGAGAGCAGCTGGGCTGTGAGGTCTGAAGAAGATGGTCTGTGGGTGTCGTGGTTTAGGCCAGTTAGGCAATGCAAGGGGCTGTTGGGGAGCTGCAGAGCCACACTGACAGATAGGAAGAGATGGCATGGAGGGAGAAAGGGGTGCTAGTGTTTGGGGGAAGTGGGATCTCATCTTTGTCTTTGAGGCTTGATTTGGTAGAGGAGTTGACAGCAGAGTTGGTCCAGCAGGCTGCACGGCAAATGAGTTTCTTCCATACGGACTATAGCTGACAGAGCAGGCGTGGGTGGTTTCTTTCTTCACACTCCTCATGTCTGTGGGCATCAGGGTAGGGGCCACAGTCGTTACAATCTGTAGAGAGAGCAGCCTGGACCTGCTGCAGCTTTACGCTTGCTCACACCAATTCTACAGAATGATTTGCTAAAGCTGCTCCACATCTCTGCAGCTGAGTGGCTGACTTAGCACTCTCAGCTAAATAAAATCATCTGTTGGCTGCTTCTTTGCAAGACTTCCAAGCACAGAAGTGCCCTTGACAAGCACCAGCACTCAATAAATGTGTGGCAGGCTCACAGGGAAGGATTTCCTGCAGCAGAGAGGCATGCGGGAGTCCTGAGCCCGTCTGCATGTGCTGGAGCTGCATTCATCCCCCTGCTGCCAGGCCGGGCAGGAATTGTGCACTGCTGCTTCTCTTTATGATAACCAGATGGCACAGCACCTCAGCCGTAATAATCACACTGGTTTACCTATCTGCAGCCTTTCTTCTTGTATGGCTTGTTCATCTTTCTAATGACTTTGTTATGCTGAGTAATTGTGCGATCATATCCGAGAGCAACTGTGCCGGCCTTCCAAAGAAACCAAATAAATCTGTACTAGCCTCTCCTATGCCTTTCCTATGTGGAGAATATTCTTCCTTTCCCAGCTTGCCTTAAGAGGGGGCTGAAGATGCTGTGCTAATGCTAAGCAGCTCTGTCTGTGAACCTTCCTGTGCTAGGCTGACTTCTCTTCAGTACATTATATGCTTTGAATCCCAGAGTAGAACTGCTGATCCCAAGTTGTATTTTCATTTGCAAACTTACTTAGGGGGTAGATTTAGGTCTTCGACTTTCTGTCATGGATCCACCGACTCAGTGCATTGCCTTTGACCTCTTGAATACCTGGATCCATGTTGGACTAAGCCATGGTTAAAATCAGTTCAGCACTTTCTTGATCCAGTCTCAAGAAAACCAGCCTGTTTCCCAGAAGTTCTGGTTGTCACTGGTGCAGAAGAGCAAGGACAGATCTGTGTGTTGTAGAACTTGGAGGACCAGCAAGGTGAATTGCTGGGTACAGCTCTCGACCCAGCCAAGCTCTAGGACCTTCTGACGGCATCTCTATGCCTTTGCCAGTAGCCCTTTCCCTCTGCACCCTCTGTTTAGGCAGCTTTAGTTTTATTGTTGGAAGGGAAAGTGTGGAGCCTGTCACATGTGTGAAAAGAGAAGTGCCTGCGTGTGTCTCCTCGACATGCTTCCTCCCTCCCAAAGCAGGGTACCAGCCATTTCTTTGGCTAAAAATACTCAATTTGCATCGCTTCTGGAAGGACACACCACCACCAGCTGCAAGCTGCAGGTACTTTGTATGTGTGGGATCACTTCTACTAAAGAGAGCTTATCTCTGACCTGTCTCTTGAAACGGTATTTTTCTTTTTCTTGTTTTGTTTGTTTTAAGCTTCTGACATACAGTAAATGGTAACTTCTAAGCTGTTTTGGTGAAGCCCTATGTGAACCTTGATTGATAACCTCGGCA